TTTTAGTGTTCTATCCTCTTCTCCTTATTCTGTAAGAGTATTGTGGTGTTAAAGAGAACCAAAGTCTTACTATTTGAGGTCCAAATGAACCATGGATGATGAGCATCAGGCATCTAATCGTCTTGCGCATGTGTGTAAACTGAGACTCAGATACGTTTTTCTTTAAAATACATGGGAAGGTCTCCCCCGAGATAAAGAATCGCTGAAATAATGTAGCTATTTGCCTGAGGTTTGATCTGAGACGACACTAGCACTACCTCTCTTTTGCTTTTAACAGCCTTACTGAAGCATAATTACATTCCATAAAATTTACCCACCATAAACATCCAGTTCAATGGATTTAGCACAGTTAGAGCATTGTGCAGCCATTACCAGTGAACATTTCCATCATTCCCAAAAGCAACCTTGTACCAATTTATAGTTCCAACCCACTGCCTCCTCTAGCCCTAGGCAACTACTAATCTTTAGTAGACATTTCACATAAGTGGAATCATACAATATGTAGTATTTGCACATGGCTTCTTTCATTTTATATAATGCTGTTGAAGTTTGTATTGTCACACGTATTAGTAATTCGTCCTTTCTCATTGCTGAGTAATATTCCATTATATGGATATATCACCAATTGTTTATGTGTTCGCCAGTTGACAAACATCTGGATTGTTTTCAGTTTGAAGCTATGATAAGTAATGCTGCTATGGATGTTTGCACACATGCCTCTGAGTGTACGTGTGTTTCTTTTTCTTGGATGGATTCCCAAGAGTGGGATGTCTAGGTAGAATGGCAAGTTTATGTTTAACAATTTAAAGAAATTGCCAAATTGTTCTCCAACACGGCTACACCATTTTACATTCCCACAGGAATGAATGAGGGTTTAAGTTTCTCCGCATCCTTGCCAACATTTGGTATTTTATGTTTTTTGGATTTTAGCTGTTCTAGCAGGTTCATTGTGGCACCTCATCGTGGTTTTAATCTGCATTTTCCCGACAACTAGTGACATTGAGCATCTTTTCGTATATCCATTAGCTGTCCATGCACCTTCTTTGGTGAAATGTCTATTAAAATATTTTGCTCACTTTAAAATTAGGTTGTACATCTTCTTACTGAGTTGTAAGGTTTACTTTACTTTTTTAAATTAAAATCTTGGATAGGATTTTAATTTTGTAAGTCTAATTTAACATTTTTTTTAACTTTTTAAAATTTATTTCTGAGAGAGAGAGAGGCAGTATGAGAAGGGGAGGATCAGAGAGAGGGAGACACAGAATCTGAAACGGGCTCCAGGCTCTGAGCTAGCTGTCAGCACAGAGCCCGATGCGGGGCTCGAACCCACGAACTGTGAGATCATGACCTGAGCTGAAGTCGGACGCTTAACTGACTGAGCCACCCAGGCGCCCCTGCAAGTCCAATTTTAAAAGTAAGCTGTTGGATAAGATGTTTTATACTCGTGGTATTCATATATTTGAAGTCCTTGCTCACACTTAGTGTCCTGAGGCCTTTTGAAGTCCTTACTCCTGCACAGTGTCTTGAGAAGGGAAGACAGGCATCCTTCATTTTTAGAAGAGGATATCCCAGAGAAGAAAAGTGCGGGGTTCAGTTTACCCAGTTTATTGGAGGTAAAGCCAGAATCTGGAGCGTGGCCCCACTAGAGATTGGGGAACCAAGTGGAAGCTTTTCTCTCTCCCTGGGGCCCAGGCTGGGGCCTGGTATTGTCCCAAGGCTTGCCAGGAAGCAACACTGATGTGGACCTTGGACCCAGGCCTTGGACCTATGTTTGGTAGAAGGGTGCGCTTGTTTGCCAGGTTGAAAGCCAGGTGCCCAGGTGCCCGGAGATGATGGTCAGAGGGTCCTGTTGGCTTTGGCTTGGTTTCCCAGCCTTCGGGCAGCTGAATTTCACAGGTGGCTCTCCTGGCGGCCGGGCACTTTGTCTTTTCTCACTTCATAAAGATTTCCATCGAGGGCGTCCATTGTGGCAGCGCAGCTGTATCTCCTCACCCTTGGTGACCCTACCCTGCAGGAAGATCCACTCCCTGCACGTGGCTTCATGCGATGTGGGCTCTGGGCCTGCATCTGGGCAATCGCGGAGGTCCTTGGCCTGCAGAAGTGCAGAACTTCCCCCCCGGGAGACTGGAAACACTCCTTCCTTTCTTTGAACAACAGACCTCTGCTGATTGCTACACCAGATAGGCAGTCCCAGACTCTCATCTGGATGATGGGAGAAATAAGCAGAATGTTTTCTCTTACCCTGCTCTGGAGTTACAGGTCTTGGAACATGGGAGGATTTTAGTTGAATATTAAAATACTGCATGAGCCACTTTTCCCTTGGGCTCTCACCGTTGTCCCTCTGGGAATGCTTGATTTCTCACTTTCACTATGTTGCCCTTAAGACTTCTAAAGCGAAGCCACCCAGTGTGGAGAGGCTGAGCACTCCGTGCTAGGCTATTTAGACTGTGAACTCTGCATCCGGCAGGAGCAACCAAATGTGCATTGCAGCTGCCAAAAGACTTCATTCAGTGGCTCATTGAATTCAATGGAAAGAGGTGTTAATGGAGTCAGGGGAAGTGATGCTATTTAAAAAAGTGACATTGTGTGGTTCTGCTCCGTGTTTATTCTCCCTCAATGACTTCCAGATCAAACTTACACAGTTTTACATCAAAAGATGCCTGTTCTGGACTCCAGTTGGAGGCAAATAAGATATCCAGCGAGTTAACTCCTCTCCACCCTGCTATATCTCATTCCTTGGGATGATTGTCACATAGTTCGGGATTGCCTTGGCCCCTGTGGGAGGCGGGTCTCCGTATCAGCACAGGGTCAGGGTCAGGTGTCACACAGCTGTCCGATTGCTGGCTTCAGCCTGCAGCCACAATTAGGGACTCTATAGCTCTCCAGTCTTAAGATCCCAAGAATGGGGTATTGGTGCAAGAAAAGGATCAGAACTCTGTGTTCTTCCTCCCTCCCTGATAAGATGCAGGGAAGTCGGCCAAAGGTCTTAGGAGCTCAAAATGGTGGGGGGTTGTTATTATGGGTGATCTGACTGGCGTCGCAGAGACTATCTGAGTACTTGCATTCTCCATAGTTAATGAAATAGGTGAAGGGGATTAAAAGGTACAACCTCCTGGTTATAAAATGAATAAGATATGGGAATGTAAGGTACAGCATAGGGAATATAGTCAATAATAGTGTAGCGACAGATGTAACTAGCCTTACTGTAAGCTGGAGGCCTGAAACTAATACAATACTGTGTGTTAATTATTCTTCTGCTAAAATAAGTAAACGAAAGTTATAGTAACCAAAAACTTAAAAACAAAAGCCATTGGCAAAACAAACAAGGGAATATATAAACAAATGGTGATTGAATAACATGACAACAAAATAGTTAATGCTTGGAGAATAGAGTGTTCGGTTATAAAAGATTTCTGGAGGATGGTGTAATCATCACACTGCCTGAGACCATGGGGTTCTTCTCCCTCCCCCCCCCCCCCCCCCACCCAGGGAAGAACACAGAGAAATCTCTCAACTGTGCATTCTCAATGGCGGCTGAGATACCAAGCAGGCGAAAATGGATTGGGGGCGATGGGGGGAAAAAGGACTCTTGCTCTTTTTATATAGAAAGCACAGATATACATATACTATATCAACAGATATACAGTGTACCTGTGTTATTAATAGTTCATTAGGTAGGTGATTTGGAAAAAAAAAAAAGTCTAAAAATGCTCTTTAGGTGGGCAATAGTGAAAAACAGTGGAGAGACACTGAGACACTGCCCAACACTAAGGTTTTGGGGATCTTGATGAAAATAACTCAGAGTCCCGAAAGGTGGGTAAAGTCTACAGTCACTCCTAACCTGCAGAGTTTCTCGCCCTGCAGGGAGCTGCCAACATTGCTGGAATGATGTGGATTACGGCTTTGTTACCTGGAACTTCCTGCTCCCATCACCTATGGTAGAAATTTCAAAGCAAATCCACGGTGCAGTTTCCCCCATTCCCTTCTATTTTGTTTGCCGTGTCCCCGCTCCAATTCACTGGGAATTGGAGAGCATGCTGTTTTACAGTTAAAAATGTTCTAAGGCTTCCTGATTCTCTTCACTTTGGCATACTGGAGAGAGGATGGGCCTTCCTGCCTTCTCTTCCCTTTTAGGTGAGAATAGAGAAATAGCTAGGTGTTCAAGAGGGAATAGCGCCTCATGAATACCTCATGTTTTCCTTAAGCTCTTCAATGAGGGCCACTAGGTACTATGCTGGTACCTTTCATAAGAGGGCAGGAAGGAACTAGGGACACCAGAATTTGATGCCATCAAGTATACTAACCTTATCCTAACCTGTGTGGCCAAAACCCAGGGTTTCTGGGGGAAGATGGCTGCTCCCCACCTCAGCTTTTCTGTGGGGAAGAGCAGGGCTGACCATGCTGGTACATGCAGGTTAATGAGGAAGGGTCCTCCAAAGTCATGACAGTTGAGCTCCCTTTTGTCCCTCCCCTGGGATGGTGAACACACACCTGGGTTTGTCTTACTTGTGGTGTCTCTCTGTGGTTCTTTTTTTCCTTCCTGTTCGTCCTTCCTTCCTTCCTTCCTTCCTTCCTTCCTTCCTTCCTTCCTTCCTTCCTTCCTTCTTTCCTTCCTTCCTTCCTTCCTTCCTTCCCTCCTTCCTTCCTTCCTTCCCTTCCTTTCTCTTTGGTCTCTTCACTGGGACTTGGCCGGGCCATGTGCAAACCCCAACCATTCAACAGTGCTGGAGAGTAGATAGTATTTACCTCAATAATGGTAGTCTCTTTTCGATTCTTTTTAACCCTGAATTCAGATGACGGGTCTAAGCCTACACCCACGATGGAGACGCAGCCAGTATTCGATGGAGATGGTAAGCTCTTGTGTTACTTACAACTCGTATTCTCTCACCCGTCTTTAGATTTGGGGAACATCTTTTCTTTGGATATTTGTGTAAGCTTTATGATTAGTTTTTTCTTTTTTAATTTCAATTTTTCCCAGTTTAGTCTGGGTTGTTTTAACCTTTTAAAAAATGCAAATCCTCCCAGGAACTGGTACACTCTCTACTTCTGGAAAGGCCCTCTGTTCCAGCCAGGCTTCCTGCCTGGCTGCTGATGTCCAACAATAACACAGCCTGGATGGACCCTTTGAGCTGCCAAGACTGAGGAGCCATGACTGAGAAAGACAGGCGAGCACTGTCCCTTCAGTAGATGAACTGACACTTGCAAGTTCCTTCTCTGTGCCCAGCATTGTGCTGGGCCTGTGGAGGACAAAGGAGGATTGGATGAGATGAAGCCTTTGGTCTCAAGACAATGGCAACTATCGGAGAATTTGATGTGTTAAATTACATGGTCTCAGTTTTTATCATAATGGACATTTATGGGAGAAAGAGATCACCATGGTCTAGGGAAAGACTATGTGAAGAGATGGAACGTGCGCTGGATCTTGAAAGGGGAAGGGAAGAATCAGGGCATTGTAGCTGGGGTACTGGTATGGACGGAGGAGAGAATATGGTAGGGATGGGGTATTGTAGGGAAGTAGGAGGAAAGAGATTGGTTCGTGGACCTGGTTTAGCTAAGGTGAACCTTGACAGCTGAGTCAAGGCATTTGCAAGAGGAGAATTCTAGGGCAAGAGAAATAGTGTGGGTTGTAGCAAGATAGAGGCTGGATGTCCCTGGAGGTATGAGGAATGGACAGGAGGGGCATGGAGTGCTGAAGGCTGGCCTCTATTTGAGCTTGGGCTGCTCCTGGCCTACATTCTTCAGGGTGCTTTGCTATGTACACAGGTTCCTGTGAAGAGGAGCAGGAAGCTTGACGGAATGCAATTTCTAGAAAGCCTGACAATGAGGTTTGACTCTCAGTGCAACATGCAGCAACCTCTGAGCAGCTTTCAGCTGAGACTATCTAAGCCTAAATCACAGTACTGGACAGAGAGACAGGATTTAAAAGAAATGATGCCATTGGTTGGTACTATGGTTCAGGATGTCTCTAGCACAGGCTCAGCTCTAGATAGGATTGAAATGTGAGCTCACCTGTACAACTGGTCACTTAGTGGAACATGTATGTGTTCATGCCTAGAAATTCAGATGTTTCTGTGATCCACAAATCTCCTGGATTATTTGCAGGTCTGGGATCCCGGGGAATCGGAAGGGAGGTGGAGACCATGTCACCTTGGGAGATTGCCCCAGCAATCCCGCTGAAGATTTCTTAACTCTAAAGTTGATCAGGGTTCTCCTGATGCCCATACCACTTTGTCCACTGGGTGACCCAGGCCCTGAAGGGGCTAGAGGTTCCCCCAAGCTCTCTGGATGGAGGGATTCAGCCTCCGTTCAGTGAGAAACCATTAGGAAGGGTATTGATGCACACATCACTTTCCTTCCCATGTGGAACAGAGTCTCAGCAAGCTGAAATCTGTTGTGGCTCAGCCATTTCCTCCAAAATGGTCTCTGTGGTTTGTTTGGCATTCGTTTGTTGATTTATCCCCTTTAAATCTTCTTCCAGGGAAGCAGCTGAGAGAGACTTGGCTTGGCCCATGCTCCTCACCTCCTGGGATAATATTTTTATTCCTGGATGGAGCGGCTCAGCGCCTCTGGACTTAGACCACTCTGCCTCTGAGCACAGGAGGTCCTGGTTGGCTCCTGTGAGCTGGCGGGTAGAGGAGCTTCCTTAGTGAGAAGGGAGAGGGCATTGGGACAAAGCGGATGTGGAATGAGGGAGAAAGCTCCAACCTTGATGCCTCAGGCTTCAGAAAAGGCTCCTGAAGTCTGGGGACTCCACTACAAGTTATCTATCCCCTTTGCCTAGACTGGTGTTTTCTCCCTTCTTCTTCTTTTCTTTGCTTTTTTTCAGAAATTACGGCCCCCACTCTATGGATTAAGCACTTGGTAATCAAGGACTCCAAGCTGAACAACACCAATGTAAGAAATTCAGGTAAATAATCAGCCTGGGATTATATACATGCCTGATTTGCCCTTGATTGCCCTGTGGTGTGGGCTTGGGCAAGTCATTTAACCTGTCTTGTCTTCAACTTCTATAGCTGCAAAATGAGATTAGATGAGTTAATCCCGTCCAACTTTAATTTTCTTCAGTTAGTATCTCAGGGATCATCTTTCATGACTATTTGATCCGTTTAGCAAAAAATCTTTTGACTGCATGCCTTAATACTTTTAAGTGGCTCTTTATATGCCATGCACAGAATTTTTTTTTTTTACAAATAGTTTATTGTCAAATTAGTTTCCACATAACACTCAGTGCTCATCCCCACAAGTGTCCTCCTCCATGCCCATCCCCCCCCCCAACATCCATCAGTCCTCAGTTTTTGTCAGCATTCAAGAGTCTCTCATGGTTTGCCTCTCTCCCTTTCCCCCACCATTTCCGCCCTTCTTCTCCCGCTTGTTCCTCCGTCAGGTTCCTCCTAATCCTCCTATGCATGCAAACATATGATATTTGTCCTTCTCTGCCTGACTTATTTCGCTCAGCATAACACCCTCAAGGTCCATCCATGTTGCTACACATGGCCAGATTTCATTGTTTCTCATTGCCATGTAGTATTCCATGGTATAGATAAACCACATCTTCTTGATCCATTCATCTGTTGATGGACACTTAGGCTCTTTCCATGTTTTAGCTATTGTGGAGAGTGCTGCTATGAACATTGGGGTACATGTGCTCCTATGCATCAGCATTTCTGTATCCCTTGGGTAAATTCCTAGCAGGCCATGCACAGAATTTTAAAAAGTGGCCTGGCATGGAAACGTTGGACCTCAAGCCATAAGAGACTTGCCTTGTGTGTGTCTTTTAAGGCTTCAAACTAGCTGCTTGCAGTCATGTATTTTCTGATCTGATCTTTTGAGGGTCAAATTTCAGTGCTGGCTGAACCCCTGTGGAAAGGTGATAACTCTTGAAGGGTGATCAGATTTGTAGGACTCACTTGTAGAGCTCACTGATAATCAGTGAAGACCAAAGTCAATAAAGTTCACTTACCATCACTAAAGACCAGAAGTCCACCAACAGGAAAATATATTAGCAAACCCAGTCTGTATCTCTGCCATGGGGAAATCATCCTTCTTTTATTTAGCCTAAAACCAAATCACGAGAAATGCCCCTCTGCATAATTTATGCCTGGTTGGTGAATTTCATTTCGGCCATATAATTTTTTTCCTTATGGACATCAAGGTCTGTAATCAAAAGATACATCCCCTAGAACTGATGGGCAGAGTTTTATATGACCATTAATTAATGAATGGGCTGTCATTGGCCGCCTTTAGATTTATCCGTATGCCAGCTTTGCCCTAAAGGTGGTAGTGTGAGAATCTGAATGCATGAAGTGAGTTAGCCCATGAGGTGGAGCCACACAGCATTGGTTGATTTTCTCTGTGATTTAGGCTGTTCAGTACCTCTGCATGTGTCTGGTTCCCTGTTTTTTAAAAGCTGGAGGTATGGGATGGTGAGGTGGGAAGACCATGTTTCCTCTGCTCCGGAGGCTTTGACACAATTGTGCCATGGTTAAAGCATAGGCGTTGGAATTGGCAAAACCTGCATTCACTTCCCGGCTCCACCACTTACTGAGTGACCCAGTCAAGGCACATAATCCCCTCTGAGCCTCAGTTCTCATCTGGGATTATGATCTTTCCCTCAGGGGATTGTGGTTAAAGGTTAGCTGAGTTACTGTCTATGTGGAACTTAACCAGTGCCTGGCTAAAGAGTAAGTGCATATCTCTGTTATTCTCATCATTATGGAAGGAAAATGGAAATATTAATGATATTGCTCACCATGAGAATCCCTCAACCAGGAAAGAATTTGTGATTGTCATTGTGAGCAAAAGCTTCTTTGCAGCAACTTTTCCCACCTCCCCTCTTGCTGTCAAAGAAATGGTACCTGGCTGGAAGGGACATCTTCAGGCACCCCCTCCCCATTCCCTGAACCCCTAGCAGGTCTGCAAAGCCCCAGGATGAAGCTTAGTTCTTATTTTGGGACTAGGTGGAAGATGTGAGAGTCAGCGCTCTCTGCAATCCTACAGCACTGTTTGCCTGGAACACTCATTTGTCTCAAGGAATTGCTTCTTTTCCATCCACCAGAGGTTAATTTCTCTACCTAGGCTATAAACTCTGTGAGGGCAAGGGCTTTATTGCCTATCTATTATGTCCATTATAGAATCTAGCTCACTGTGTTTGCTCTGGGAGAGGATGGAGGAGAAAAGACCATCCTCATCATTCTCATCGTCGTCATCATCATCATCATCATCAAAATCAGAACCATCCTGTCAGGTCCTGTAGAACTTGACACGTGTTATTTCATTTGAGCTTCCCCACGACACGATAAGTATTGTTATTGTCTCCATCTGGGACAGATGAAGAGTTGGAGGGTAAGAGAGAGGAAGTCACTTATCCCGGGTCCCAGCTAGTAAGAGGTGGGGCTGGGGGAAAGGATTTATCTTTGCAGATAGAGTGCTGATCTTCTTGGACTGTTTTCTCTGAGTCAGGCAAAGTGGTGATGAGAAGTTATTTGATGTTTGCTTCCACTCAAGTTCTCTGCTTTTCATTCCTACTTGCCCTGTATAGTTTCCAATTGGTTGAGTAATGGGTCTTATTGAGAAATGGTTTCCAGGCGGGAATAACCACCTTCCTTCTGTTGGAGTGACTCAGCCACCTTCATTTTCCCTTTGGTGTCCCCAGTTCTGTTGGAAGGTTCGTGTATAGAACAGGATAGTTCAGGGAGAGCCAGCACTTCCCTGGGAGAACTTGAGACCAGTGATAATTATCCGAGATTGATACCTGAGGCATTTTCTAATAAACTGAGGACCTTCTCCATCATAACCAAGTGGGAATACTGACTAACTACCTGTTGATCCTTTTGATGTAATTATGTGTAAAAGACATGATGTCACAAAGGCATATAGGCAGGAATTGACAAATGGCTATCTGCCTGATCATACAAATAAAGTTTTATTGCAACACAGCCACCCCCATTTATTTACATATTGTCTATGGCTGTTTTTGTGCTGTGACAGTAGAATTGAATAGTTGTGACAAAGACTGTCTGGCCTGCAAGACCTAAAATGGTTACCATCTGACACTTTCTGGAAAGTAGTTTGCTGGCCCTTGGCATATGGGAATGAAATAGAAGCATTTGGATAGGAATGTGTGCATGGGAGTGTCCTCTTTGTGGTTTTTGGCCCCTCTCATAGACCAGGCAGAGGTAGGGGCCATCCCTCCTGAGATGTTTCCCAACGTGCTCAGGGAAGCCTGACTCAGCCCAGGAGCTCTGGGCAGCTCACGTAGCCCTGCCCTCCCCCTCCCCCAATGAACCTTTGCCAAGCGTTAACATTCTGTTCTGGTGCACGCTTTCACAAATGGGAGGTCTGGCTTTTGCGGGCAAGGGTAGGGGATCATTTGTATAGAGAAGTGGCAAGCCATGTAATGGCAACGGCATGGGCTTTGGTATCAGACAAACCCATTGACCTGGCTTCCAGTGCTAGCTTCCCATGAGAGCTAAGTGACCTTGAGAAAGTTCATATGTGAAACAGAGTTATTAGTGCCTTGCAGGGTTTTTCTGAAGATTCAACAATATATGAAATGCCTAACACATAGTAGGTGTGTCATAAAGGATTTAAAAAATAATGGCTACGCCACCTTCGTGCTGTCTCATTTGGTTTGATGAGAAGTCAGATCTACTTTAATGGTAACTCATGTCTGGGCTGCTGGCTCTGCTATGGACGGGAGCCTCTGGGTCAAGCCCCCAGGGCAGGTTTCCCAAGTGAGTTTGCCAGAAGATTCTGGGTTAGCTGAGCTTCAGCCCCCCACCTCTGTGGAGGGTGAAGTGGGCCTCAGAAGCTGGTCTAGGTGAAAGCTCTTCCCACTCACTCTCAGAGGCAAGGAGGCCATCCCAGTTCCTTCTACACCCCAAACATCCGTCTTTCACACTCAGACCCTGTGACGCCAGGTTTGTTTTCTGGCCTGGGGACTGTTGATGTTGGAAAGGCTCCACTGGGCAGCTGAAGCTCTGCAATAACATGACACACACGCCTGCAGACTTATCCTGTCTCCTTCTCTCCTCCTGGAGGTGTCGATCCTTGTTTTCAAGGCTTTGTCTTGTGTTCACCGTGATTAGTGTCGCCTTCTGGGTACTTGGCAGTCTCGGCCTTGACGGGTTTGCCTCTTTGGCCTTCTCTCTCGGATTCTTGTCTCCAGCACACCAGGAGCTCTCCTGCATTCAGGAAGACGACATACCTGGCTAGCCGACACCCTAGAACCCGAGAGCAGGCGTCTTCCCACAGATGAGTGTTGGCCAGAGACTGTGTTCTGCTTTTGTAAGAAACTAGGAACTCTTGGGAAGTTTTTGGTATCAGAGGCTAGCTATTTAGGCATTTCTTTTTTTTTTTTAATCAATATTTTTTTTTTACTTTTTAAATGTTTTTATTTATTTGAGAGAGAGAGAGAGAGAGAGAGAGAGAGAGCATGAGCAGGGGAGGGTCAGAGAGAGACAGAGATACAGAATCTGAAGACAGGCTCCAGGCTCTGAGCTGGCTGTCAGCACAGAGCCCAACATGGGGCTCAAACCCACAAACCATGAGATCGTGACCTGAGCTGAAGTCAGATGCTTAACTGACTGAGCCACCCAGCCGCCCCAACCAAGGCATTTCTTAATATAACTACAACTTAAAAAAATCTTTTTAGTCAGCTGCATTTTATAGAAAAGAGCAGAGATTAAAGAAATGACAAAAACTAGGCTGTCTCATTCTCTGTCCCTATCATACCCCAGATTACCCCAGATCCCACGGCTTCTAATTTTACTGTGTGCAGACACTCTGCTGCAGCTGTGATTTACAAATGTCTCTTTCTTTCTCTTTCTTTCTTTCTTTCTTTCTTTCTTTCTTTCTTTCTTTCTTTCTTTCTTTCTCTCTCTCTCTCTCTCTCTCTCTCTCTCTCTC